AATTTTATAAACATTTTGTTTCTTTCTACCGAGCCGATTAAGTTTATTTTACCCAAAGGAAATATGATAAACTCATAGCCTTTTATATTTCATTAACATATTAGGTTTCCATTAATTTTACTCATATGTATAAATAATGCTACGCTATACATGTTTATGTACTTAAGCATCTTTCAGAGAATAAAAAGAGTCGTTTATAAATCTAGTTTGTATACAATATCTGTAGTTCCCATAGTATGTATTAAGTAGTTTTGGAATTTACACGCCATTCAATTAACATATTTACACTTACACCTTTTAGTAAACAATTTATATTGCTGCAGAGAATGCCAAACTTTTCCATGATGAGTGAGCTACATTCAAAATTGCAATTATTTATAGTATTTTAGTATAGTATTAGTATAGTATTTAGTATATAATAACATTAGTGTGTACGAAAGAAAAGAAAATTGTATAATATTATTACGGTTTGTTAAAAAGAAAAACATTAGATATAATAGTTTATAATGGATATATAGTTAATTTTTATTACAATCGACCTATGTTTCTTTAAAAATCGACGGGTTGGCGACCCTTGCTCTATTTTAGGATCTATTTCGAACTTATTTATTATGTGATCGTTTCATTGTGCGTCGTATGGTGCATTTTCTGTTTTAAAGAATCGACAAACTTGCAAAATCATCAGTACACAATATACCTATAGTGAAAACAAATTACATAACTTGTTTATTTATTTTTATAACTCTTATGAGTAGGTACATGGTCCAATCATAATAAAATTAATGAACATTATAATTCAACACTTAGAGTTAAATTAATATATTTTTGAATATATAAAAAGTATTTGATAAAAGATCAATTTTGTTGTATATATTTTCTATCGATATACAATACGATTAATTGATGTATTTTATCAAGCCTGGGCAGTAACGAATTAATAAATTAAAATTTAATTTAACTTATTAACTTAACTTATTTCATTACTGATAAATTAAATTAACTTATTAACTTAACTTATTTCCTTACAGATTAACTTGAGATTAACGTATTATTTTTTTAATTTAACCCAATTAAGTTAATTTGATTTTCAAGACCAGAAAAATATTTTTGTAAAATACCGCATTCGATAACAAGTTCATGAATTTAAAAAAATATAAAAATAAAAATTTCGAACAATTTTCAAATGCGATCATAATATTTATCATGGTATTAACTATTGATAGGGGTGCCGCCGGTCTCGGGAAAAGTACTCAATTATCTTAAGAATATTGAGTAGAAATAGCCATGCTATCCATGAATTACATTACCTTTGTCATGAAAAATGGTCATAAATCAAATAACAGATGAAATTCAATAGCTGATCAACATTTTGAGATGAGTTTTTTATTGAGATTCAATAGGTATTTTGATTAACCTGGCCATTGTATTATTTTATTTGTTTTGATTTTAATAAAATTAAATAATATTATATATTTATTTGGTTTTTGTATGTGCTTTACAGGGGCGGCTCCAAGGGGGTTCCTAGGGGCCGCTGCTCCCTCCCAAGCCCGTACCGTATTTATAAAAAAATGTATATTGTTAACAAAAAATGCATATTATAATATGTACTATCATACGACACGCACAAGTATCTAGATAGAGCCATAGAGGTATGACGGTTGAAGAGTTTTTCCACACTTCGGAGACTAAAAACCTGGCTTCATTCAATGATGACTGAAGATAGACTATTAGCATTATGTCTTATATCATAAAGTATATCATAAAGTAAATATTTTAAATTAAATAGATCATATTATTGATATTTTTGCCAATTTTAAAAATAGACGACTTGAATTTGTGTTGTAAAAATGGTTGTTTTCTTTTTATTATAAGATTTTTGTAAAATTATAACTGGGCCCCTCCTAACCAAGGCTCTGGAGCTATCCCTGGTGCTGTATACATTTATTACCTGTATAATTTTATAGTTATACTTTCAGTTGCAGTAATTATTTTTAGTTTCCATACTATTATTGAACATTAAAAATAATACTTATTTTAAATTAAATTTATCATATGTGATTTTTATGAAAAATAAATAAAAACAAACCATAAATTTGACATTTGAGTGCTAAATTTGAGTTTAATAAGAATTATCTGCATTTTCGTTATCATTAATGTTAAATAAGATCTGATGTAAATTTTGAATATATAAATCACTTATATCAGCGATTAATTTAAATAATTTTTTTTTTGTAATCAACTTAACTTATTAATTGAATTAAATGTTAACCAAGTAGTTATTAAATACGAATAAAACAAATCAACATTTATTAATTTATCTTTCAGTTATTTTAAAATTAATCAAGTATAATAGTTGGGAGACGATCCTTTATGTCGATGACTAACTTACGATAAATGGAGAATAAACCGAATAATTTCCTTCTTATTTCTAACGTCGCGTAATAGGATCTGAAGGGGCGCAATTTCAATAAAAAAATTGGGGGTGTTAAAACCCTTCTATCTTTTTCATGTTACTTAATGGTTATAGACACCAGCAACCCGAACAATTCAACTGCTATTAAAATATTTGGTAAATATTTGAATATTTCTAAATTTAAATTGTTCATTTTGATTTTATATTTTTATTGTGCGTATAACGAATTACCCGTCTGTAAACACAATTGTTTCATCACATGATCACTTTTAGATTCTAAGTGAAACGAAGGATATTATGGTTTTAAAATGATGTTTGAATTTTATTTTTTTAACACTTTTTCGGATAGAAATACTGGTCTAAAAATTTTTTCTAGGATATTTTTAGATTTTAAATTGGCATGTGGTGGTACTTAAGATAAGTCATTTTTTTAAATCTTAATAGTTTTTCCATGCATGAGGAAAAAACTCCTGAAACGGTAAAAATACGCTGTAAACTTTCACTTTTCAGATTTTAGTTATTTATACATAATTCCAAAAGTAATGTGGCTAGAAACTTTAACTTTAACTTTAACCCTATAGCAAAGATATTTTTTTTCATATTTGATAAAGTTTTCAAAAAGCGTTTTTGATTTAAATATAGAACTTTAAAGATACCTAAGGCTGGATTTAGTGCTCGACCAACGGTCAGCGCTGACGTCGGTCGAACGTAGCTGTATCAATAAATGCATACGAACAACTACAGTGCAGCGCTGAAAAGTTGATACGCGCGTACAGCTACGTTGTGCTGACGAGGACCGTCAGTCGAGCTCGTCCGTCACGCGTACGTTGGTCGACCGACGGGCCATATCGGTAAATGCTGCCATTTAGTTTGACGCTGATTGAGCGACCGACTGTGAGCGCGTACTCAAGTTTTTTAATTCTTATTATACTATTATATAATTATAATTTTACAATGAACATCGATACATGGACATGATATCTTCTGCGTCTTTTTTTATTTTTTCTTAATTGTTTGCGTAAATAATGCGCACATATCATAGAATTTACTAGGTATGGATTCATAATTCCAAAAGTTTAAGTATTTTAAAAAATTGACTAATAACGAAATAACATACACAATATGACCGACACAGTTGCCGATCAGCTATGTACTAAACGCTTTGTCACGACCAACGGTCGAGCACTAATCCTAGCCTAATATTTTGAAAGTCTTTATGTAATAACATTTTTATTTTTGGATATTAAGTGAAAATGTAACATCACCTTACTCATATTAGAGTACCTACTTATTTCACGATATTGAAAAAATGTTTAAAATCGTTAGTCTCAAATTTATTTCATGAGCATTTAAGTAAATTATTATATCTACAATTTTTACGAATTTTACTGTTTATACATCAATTTTTAACATTAAATGTTTATTAAAAAATTTTGTTTAATCCAATCAAAATGAAACTTTGAATACAGATAAATATTTGGTTAAAAAAAATTGTCTTCGTCAAACAATAAAATGTTAAATAGGTTGACAATAAAAGAACATACCAAATAAACAGACTAAAAATAGTAAAATATAGTTATAAATAGTTGATTTTTATACTGAACCTTTGCTCAAAACTGTTTTGATAAAGAAATGAATTACCAAAACTCAGTACATGCCACTCATCCCGGTGTCTCAGCCGATCATTCAGTTAATCTCTGTTAATAGAAGCTAAGAGAAAATAAAATTTAATATATTATTCAATAATAAAAAATACGAATAGAATAATATTGTACATTATATTATTATATTAAAGTAATCTAATCGGTATGATTATATACAATAATAATATATTTTTGTATTAACCAATAAATATTTAAATCATAAAATTATATATTCATTTTGTTGTCATATCAGAATAAAAAAAGAGCAATTCAATATGATGGTTTAGGTTTAGAGATTTAAAAATCTGGTGACCCTACCTATTACTATTATCCAGTTCAAGGACCGAAAAGATGAAGGACAAATTTCCACCACCATTATTTAAATAATAAATTTATACATTTATACAATAAAAACTCTGTTTTTCTATGCATAATGAGTAATGAGTATTTTAATGTAAATTAACATGAATACATTTGGGGGTGCTAATTTCGAAAATGGGGGTGCTAAGCACACCCTAGCCCCCCCAAATTGCGTCTATGAGGACCTGATAAATGAAAATTTGAACCCGACATGTATGTTACACATTGTACATTGTATCGAACTAAAATGTACGCAATTTACGTGCACCGCAGGTACTGGCACTGTACGGCTTAAACGATCCCGTGGTGAGGGGCGATTAGCGGGAGGGGGAAATGATCGCCTCGAATAATATTCGTGATGATCGTCCGTTTTTCATCGCAACCTCTCGACCGCTGGCGCGCGAGCACTGCGAAGAACGATGGACAGAAAATAATAATAATAATAACAATTACGTGGACGGGTCGTCAGGAGTGGGCGTATAAGAGCGATGCTGCACCGTTGCCGCCGCCGCCGACGTCTTTTGTTGCTCCGTTGCCCCGGACTACCGCCTCCGCCGCCTAACCGGTTCCCGAGCACCGGCAGTTCTTGGCCGGAACACTAACCGTACTGTCGTGTGCGGTGCGAGTGCCCGCGAGTGTCGCCACCTTTACCTTCAGTACATCATCGATTTTCAGGTTTACAACAAATTATAATAATAATAATATTTTTATTTAATAATTATCGTGTTCGTTCGCCGTCCGTCTCTTGTTGTAATTAAATATTTAAAATATTATCGTTGTTATTCGCAGTTCGATCTGTTATCGCGTTTATAGTACCGGAACATCGTCTCGTCTCATGTCCGGAGAAACGTCACGAAGCGAAACATAACAGTGCGTGGTCCGTCGTCATGTTCTCCAGCAGAACTCGGTCCAGCGTCCGGCTCAAGGATCCCAAACAAAGGTACGGCTAGTAATCATTTATCCGCGATTTATTCATATTTTGTCCCCGCCGTTATCGTTTCGCACCTGCACAAGTCGTGTGCGCGAGATGACGCATAACAAATAAGGATTAATACGTACGCGGGAGGAAAACTGCGTCTACCTGGGTGGTCCTATCCGGTACGTGTCCAGGTACATAAGGGCGTGCATATCCAAGGTACACCCTAAATCGACATCTCACTGCGCCTAAAGATTTACTCTTTTTTTTTTTTCTAACGCACACGCTCACAATATCTATTATGTTACGTATATTGGTCAGCCGGTACACACCGTTCGGAGATTGTTATCGACCTTTAAATACCCTGCGCCAGGTTGTTTACGTAAGAACTAAAGATTTATCACCACGGCCCATTACATTTTTCGATAGGTAGGTACAACAAAATAGTCGGTTATACAATATAAATTATACGTGCACCGCCGATATTGCGTTTTACAGAGACACCTTTGGAAAGAGTTTAAAATCCGTTCAAAGCGGACATGCGACACGAGAACGTCGTAAAGTATTTCGTTATTTTCTCGCACACACAATACATATATTATCTGTTATTACAGTATAGCTGCAGGTAGCCGCTGTTGCCGCAGGTTATTCGTTTAAATCAGTCCGGTGTATCGGTGGTAATTCCGTTTCAGTTAGCGCGCACGATTCGACGTATAAATGTTTTCCGAAAAAAAAAAAAAAAAAGAAAAAACCTCAACCGTCTTTGTGTAGCAGTTCGCCGTATTTCACTCGACAGGGTTTTTCGCATCACGGGGAAATACGATACCGTTCGACCATTACCGTGGTCAAGAACGTTGGCCGTCGACGGGGCAAGTACGGTGTCGCGCGCGTGAAGCGTAGCGGTTGACTCCGGGTGCCGACAAAGAACCGAGCGGCAACGTAAAAATCGTTTGTGGACAACGGCCGCGGCGGGCGGGAGACGTGTCGCCTCGTGCTCTCGTACGCGTACCCGTACGGACGACATTTCCGTGTTCGTTTTTCACTTTGTTCGCGCGCCGCGATTTAATGAAAAGCATTTCGCCCCGGTACGTGCGACGGCGGAGTGGTCTCATAAAAATTTGTTTTCTTTTGAAGCGCGCGCGCACCGTATCACAGTACGGCGGGGAAATAACCACCACACCAGTGGCGTTCGTTTTACTCGATTTTCCCAAGAGATCGTTATCATACCGTCGCATACCTGAACTCCGGATCCGACTTCTTGCACATTATACGCGAAATTATCACGCTACCTTACTTCCCAAGTCATTCAATTACACGCAGACTCGTGTGTGTTATATTTTTATTCTATTTTTTTCCTACATTAATACGTTTTTTATTTCCCCTCGCCCCTACCGCCCGACATTGTTGTAAACGAGCCGAAGGACATGAAACCGCGCGCGTACATCCGAAGAAGAGAGGGAATAGTCGGTGGCGATGGCGGCGGCGGCGGAAGGGAAAAAAAAACAATCCACAGTCTTTTCGTGGCCCGGTAATTGGCTTTAGTTTTGCCGACGCGTGGGAACATTCTCATTTGTGTACGCACAATGACGACGAAAATCACTTAACGAACTGTGTGCTCCATGAAGTTTAAGGTTACAGTTTGTAAATTAGATTGCTATTGCTAGTTCCGCAGAACCTGTGATTATGCGTCTTCCTTGCGGACGGATTTGGGGCAACCGTGCGCTGCCGAGGGTTTTCGCTTTCTGATGGACATCTAGATCCGGTCTACAATAGTAGGTGATTCCAATTGTTTGAAACAAACTCGTTCGTGTCGTTTTCAAATAATGAATGAGTCGCGTTACAATAACCAGCGAATACGTACCTACGTTAAATGGGGGTTACGGATTTGACATATAATTATTCCGAGTGGAAAGAAACGTTTTATTAATTTATTATTTTGCATATAATGGTTTTTCATTAACACGTTCAGTGCTGCAACAATGTATTATCTATACATCTCACCCGAAGCTTCTAGAAAAAGTCTCATACACAAATGACAAACTGCCCAGAATAAATATAAAAACATAATAAGTTATTTTTTTAATGAGGTTAGTATTAAATCATTACAAACCGATCAAAAAAATCAGGAATAAAAAAATAGTATATAGTTTTTTCTATCGCTTCGTAGGTAATAACACGTTGAACACATGATAAAAGTTACTGATGTCTTTATATTTCACCACTGCCCAGAAGCGATATTATTTGTAATACAGGATGTCCCAAAAACTGCTTTTATTGAATTGACTTAAAATACTTTATTTTTCCAACAAATATAACAAAAAAGGACATGAGCAGTTTCGGAATAATCTCCGGCTTACGTTTGAAAAAATATATCATTCCAATGATTCTCCCTCTAGCTTGTTGACAGGCTGTAATTCGTTCGAAAAAATTAGCAATAACTGCCTCTCAGTTCTCTGGTGAGTTCCGCAATCACACGTTGCACGAATTATTTCAAATCGTTTATGGTTCTCCTCGATTTTGTTTAATTTTCTCAGACCAGCTGACCACGAAACAAGGATAATGTTCACCCAATGGATCGTGATCAAGCAAATTGAGGATGGCGGATTAACAAAGAAAATTATTATTTCAGACGAAGCACGTTTATATTTGTTTGATTTTGTTAACAAACAACATGTCGCATTTGGGGCTCGGAAAATAAACGTCAGTTTCAATAAAGATAAATGCGCTCACAATGGGTGTTTTTAGCTAATTTAAAAAAAGTTTTTTTTTTTGAAACACAGTAGTGCTATTCTAACAATCATTATCGTCCTAGAACAACAACTTTGACTATATACTATATATTGCGGAAAAATAAAAATACCTTGAAAATATAATAAAATATGTATACTTAAATATAAACGTCTAAAACTAAAAACAAACGAAAATAGAAAGCATTTCATCGTTCGATTTGTAAGATTATACTATTTGCCCAAATTTAGTTTTAAAATTATCGTAATCCGCCAAAATATTATCTGTTAAAACGCGTACAGAATTAAGCGATCATTGACGTGCATTATATGCCTGTATACATGTCGACACAATAGTGGCTGGAGTAATTTGTTTCGTGTTTTTGTTGTCAATATGTCTACTCATATATACAAATCAACAGCGGTGTAGTAACATTGAACGCGTTTACAGTATTATTTTGTTGGATAATCTAATGTAAATAAATGTTTTATGTACTGTCATCTTTTAGATGTTATTTTTGAAAAATATATTTTTTCTCATTAAATTGATTTGATTTTGCGGGAAAAGAGTTTGTAATTTTCTCTTTTTATACATTACTTTTGGTGATTTTTTTATCGGTAGAACAAGTGATTAATTTAAATAAAAAATTAAGTTATTGATTGCATTCGTGCAGATAATCACGGAATTGAGTATAGACAAATTATGACTAAATGCTATAAACATTAAAAAAATGCTAGTGGTACGTTGCTGTGTGTATGAAAAAAATTCACACAAAGATAATTTTAAATTTTTTATTTTTATTTTTTAATGTTATAGCATAGCTATTAGTTATTAGTTATTAAAATCATAATATATAATATATTTTTGTGAATTTACTATAAAATTTTGGTGTTGTTAATAGATACCGCGAAAAAATAAAAATCACGAGTCGACTTTTTTCTAAAAATTTTTATCTACTATAGTGTGACAGAATTTGATTTATTTTCATACATTATATTATACAGGTAATATTATTTTAAGCATTAAATTAAAAACAAATCAAACGATTTGATTAGTGATTATTATTATTTCCTGCTAGTAGATTGATAGGCAGACAATTTTATGTAGAGTGTCCCGTGTATTTAATAAAACGAATGTAACCGTGTTGTGGCCCAGAGTATGTATACACTTACTAAACTGGTCCTTGTCGGCAGCCGGTTTTTTGTTCATTTGTTTGATGTACTCATATGTTCTGTACACTTAAAAGGCGTTGGTGTTGTAAACGATTGTTGTCGACGAAATTAAATTTAGTTTCGACAAACCAAATAATTCCATTTATTCCGAACAAGTTTTTTAATTCCGACCGCAAACCGCTTTGAATGTTTACTTATAGGGTAAAAAACCATTTGGTACTTACTTTTGAGCCGATTTGTGATGATAGACATCCCTTGGAAGTAACGGTTTACGAATTACCATAATGACCGAGTCACCCAGTTTTTAACAATTGTTCGTCGAGTGAAGTGAATATAAGTAGACACATCAAGTATGAAATGACGATTATCAAAAAAAGTATGATTTAATTTTTGTAATTTACTAAATATGACATATAATAGCGCAAGAAGTTTAGTCACCATAACGTAGACTATAATACGTTATTACATAGTTACTAAATTAACTATAAAAAATAATATTATTAGAATATTGACGAATTGTGAAGCGTTCTTTTTGCTTAGAATAATAATTTAGTTGTATATGCTTTTTCTTCTATCAACATAAACCGCGAATCTTTGTGATCCTGATGGTATAAAACTAGACGGTCACGTACTAACGGTAAAGATCGTTCGTTTTCTTTATGCATATTTCCATATCATCTCTTTGTCGTATTTATTTATTTATATTAGGAAATAAAATGTGGTTTTCACTTGACGTTCTTAAATAAATTAGTTTGCAAAAAAAAAATAAATATTTTCCGATGGTTCATAATATGTGATTAATCGAATTAAATTATTTTCACGATTCGATTTTAATTTTATTTGTATGTGTCTATATGACATTTTTCAAAATATAATTAATAATTGTTTGATATATCTGCAAATTAAAGTAGTTATGTGTAATTGATAAATATGTTCTTGCATATTTCAGACATCAGTATAGCGTTTCCATTTTAAAAAGTTACATTCGCATTATATTTGTTCAATTTAAGCTAAAACATCGAATGTAACTATTATTCTTGATAATAACAAATTTTTTCTTTTTAACGACAAAATTGATTGAAATCCATAATATTTGAATATTGCAGTCTTGATTCTTATTTAGTGTGAACAAAGAACGTTTTAATTATGTACCGTTTATAGAAAACGTGGTCTTGAACGTCACCCGGACAATATATATGTACATATTTTAAATGCAGACTCATAGACATGGACGTGTCTCGCGATTAACGGTAAAGATCGTGTCTACAGCAGTAATCGCGGTCTTACTTGCATTATGTTATACCGTTTGGTTTTGAATAATAGCGTGAAAGGGTAAGAGGGATGGTGGATATTTGCATTTCTAAAATCACGGGTAAAACTTCGTGTTTGATGTTTCATGCAAATATCGCATTTTATAAATATTATGCACGAATATAATGTATGTATTGTATGGATCCGCGTGAGCGCTCGTAATTATTTTACACCCGGGTTTGTGTTCTGCTCAGTCAGCATCTCACACACACACAAACCCATATATGTATCTTATAAGTACTTTACTTACAGGATAGGGTCCGTTGACCTGATCTGAGCTATAGAAGCGACGTCAGTGATCGCGAGAAATGTGTGAAGCGTTTCGCACTCGAATCGACTTTGCGAATCACGCGTGCAAGAAATGGTCATTTTGTGTTATAGTGGTTCGAGAAAAAAAAAAGAAAAAACATTTTAACTTGCATGGTGTATGTCCATCCGGGCAGCAGGTCTCGCACAGTTGTATTGTACATAATACGCCAAGTCGCCAACTGTATATTATATAGTTGGCGACTTGGCGCGTTATCTGAAAAGTTGTACGGGTGTATATTTTATATATTATATTTGATTTCGTAGACGATATAAACTTTATCTATGAATAGTTGTATTGTCACCGTTTGTAATTTAATATATATTTGTATATATATATATATATAAGTATGAATGTCTTACGACTGTATAATATTATTCTTAATAACGCGCAGATGACCCGAGTAATCAGCAGCTCATCTTGTTTCCCTTACTCAGAGTTGTGAGGAGGTAAGTAGATAAGTATCTGCTAAAGTGACTTTGTAAAGCATGTATATACTACGTATAAAATATATCACCAGTGGGAACACTACTATGCGACTGCAGTTAGTATAGCTACGAGGAATCATCATTCTGCATTGCATTGTATATAGAGGAAACCTTGGTGCAGTGCCGTGCCTAGCAAAATTTAGCGCTCGATGCCAGAATAATTTTCAGTGTCCCCACCCCATCTATCAAATATTTTTATATCCATAGACTTTAAGGAGACTACATAAGACTGTGGGGGGGGGGGGGTTCTATTTAACTGCTTACTTTGTATTTATTAAATTAATGAAAGAAATAATCAATAACTAAAGAATAATATAATATAACTCAAACTGTAGAAGTAGAACAAAAAATGTAGATAATAATCTATCATACTAAACCGGTAATTTATGTATAAATCAAATTTATTCGATTGCATAAAAAATAACTTATCTTTAAACAATTGTCAATGAAAAATAATTGGGGAACTTCTGCGTTTATGAACTATGATGTGAACACCATTATAGATTCCATCTATTATTACATGGATTAAAAATCAAATCGTTCAACTCTTTCAAGTTGACATTCGTTATTATTGTTTTTAAATTAATTATATCAATTAACAATTAGAATTGAGTATAATGTTAAAATGGTATATTGTTGTTCATTTGTTGTCAACGATGTCGTCATTCCCGCGAAAAATAAACAATTTATTTCGTTTTATATGTTGATTTTAATAATTACCGATTCAGATATATTTATGTTAATATAGTATACATAAATATAATAAATATTATTAGAATATAAATTATTGTGCACATCTTTAATCTAAAATCTTAAGGTTTAGGATTATTAATAGCTCAAAATCAAAATAATAAAATATCTCCCGGGTGAGCCTAGCATACATATGAGTATATGTATGCGTTTTTGTTAATTTTGTAAAAATTATTAAGGTCTTATAGCATATTTCTTAGTAATAAACACTTTTTTACATTACAAAATACGAATGTTAATATGTTAAATTAACTATTGACGCATATATTTATGAGATACATTTTATAAAACCTAGATGAAAAACAGTAGATTTGGAGTAACGTAATGCATTATGTATCCATGAAACATTTATATCCCCATAATATATATATTTTTTAGTAAATGTAAGCTTTAGAAAAAAATAAAATTTCATAGAAAACTTTGTACGAGTAAAAAGTACAATAGAAAATGTTTATATTGAATAGAAAAATATATTGTGATATAAAAAAAATAATTGATAATTATACTATATTATTACCATATTATACAATATTATTTTGTGGATCTAATGATAGTAAGATGCAGAATAAACGTCATAATATATTCAATATAATAATATATATAATATAATTATAACATGATATAATTCAAAACTAGAAAATATAAAAAAGAATAACTATACAAATTTGAGGGATTGTCAAAAAAAATACGAGTAGGTGCGCATTGATAAACATCTTGATTTTACCATAATTATACAAATTCCAACATTTTATTAAATTTAATTGTTATTATAACAATTATAAAATATTTTATGAATGTTGATTCACCGCCGTTGTCACTTATTTTGAATAAGTACATACATCATCAACTTCTATTTATTATGGTGATTAATTTATCACGCAATATAATTACTTAAACGATTTAAATATTTGAACCATGTAAGAGCGCATTATTATGAATTAAGGGTATCATAACGTGTATTGAGCGATTGATATAATCACGGAATCCAAGTACAGCAGATCTATATAATAACATATTCTATATTTTAAATTACAAAACTTATGAATTAATTGAGAATTAAAAATTTGTGGTTTTATTATCTTCTAAATGTATTATTTACTTATAAATAATACAAATAATAAAATAATTTGTA